GATTCCAGATTTTTTCTCTTTCTTTCTTTTTTTTATATTACACATGCACAGATACACTGGTACACACATGCACATACACATACACACACACTCATGCACACTTTTGTATACACTCCAATAAACACTCTTATACACACACACACACTCATACATGCAGTTGTGCTCAGACCTACACACACATAAACATTTTTACAAATGCACACAAGCACGCACACACACACACACACACACACACACACACACACACACACACACACACACACACACACACACACACACACACACACACACACACACACACACACACACACACACACACACACACACACACACACACACACACACACACACACACACACACACACACACACACACACACACACACACACATACACTTACACACACACACACTTACACACACTTATATACACACATATAATCATGCACACAAATAACTTACACACACACTCACACTCACACACAAACACAGTTATATACACAGACTTAGTCATGTACTCAAATATACTTACACACAGACACTCACCACACACACACACACACTTGTACATGTGTGCATGCACTCAAACACACACATACACAAACATATACATACATACGCACAGACACAAACACACACGTGAGCACGCACATACGTACAAACACATGCACACATTATGAAATTATGTTATTTATGTGTCCCTTCCATTTCCAGAGTCATTAGATAACTGGGAAAATTTTGGTGATGGCGGTGGTGATAATGACCCATTGGAAATTACCAGCATCTCATCAGATATGTCAAAGGAAGTAGCAGATAGCCATGAAAGTAAGTGTACAAGATAGCTGTTAGTACGTAGTTATATATATATATATATATATATATATAGATATAGTATATGTATATATATATATATATATATATATATATATATATATATATATATATATATATATATATATATATATATATATATATATATATATATTATATCATATATATATTATATATATATATATATATATATATATATATAACAAGCATGTGGAAATGAATGTGTTTGATGACACCTTTACTGTAATAGCTTACCTGAAAATAATTTCCAGATACATCCAGATTGTACTGCTTATCAGACGTTTCAACTACCGAAGGGATTGTCATCAAGCCAGACACATCTCAACAGCAAGTAAGGAAATTTAGATACTCCATTTTAAGAAGCATGCCATGGCTGACCATCATTGATGATCAATTAATTACCAATTAGTTAAATGACTACTTGATGATAGATTGGTGAATGGATGAATATATGTTACTCACCGTAGCAGCCAGTAGTTGGCATGGACACTGTCAGTCAGTATAGGTGAAATAACAATATTCATTCTACAAACTCAGGAGCAGTTGATAAGGAAGGAATTAAATAGAGGAACTTGGATAGATGGTTAGGTAGGTAAATGGAGGAAGGGATTATAGGTAAATAGGTAGATGGATGGATGAGTCTCCCACCCTTGCTACGGGGAGAAAAGGACGGATATAGATATGTGAATGCAAGGTACATATAACCAGGTAGCTGCACTTTCATTTAGCCTGTTAAACTTGAAAAAAAAATTAACCTTTTCCCAAGAGTATTCTGATGGCTGTTAATGGTAAAGAACTCTTCATTATCATAAATAAAAGAGGGGAATTTTTGTTTTGTATTTGGTAATTATAATAATATCAAGTAAATTAAACAAATAATTATGTATCTAGCAATATCTGATATCAGACAGAGCACTTTCATTTGCTAAATACGATGATGTCATCAGTTAATAAACACTTTTGAACAAAATTACAAATGGTAAAGACAAAACACAATCTTATGAATCTTTCATAATTGAATTTCATGCTTTCTCTTACATTATAACCACCTTTCTTGTTCTTCAGGATAGTGATGCTCTGGATAAATTAGGTGGTGAACTTGCAGCTGAATTGTTCGAAGTTAAGGATGGTAAGTCTTAGCAATTATATATTGAAGCTAAAGGCTCATTACAATGATGAGAGGCTTGTTTATGAGATTGCTTCATCTGTTTTGTTTATTTGTTGAAGATAAGAAGTGTATTATTACCATCATTATTTTTAAAAACTGAATTAAAAATCTTTTCACTGTTTACAGAGCCTTTGGGTGACTGGAGAGCTGTTAGTGATTTTAACGCTCAGGAAGATTCAGATCTGCATAATGATATGTGTTGTAGCCAAGTAAGTATTATATGTGGATAATTTGTGGAATTTTATTGCTTTTACTTTGTTTTATATAATATTTTTGACCACAGAGAGAGTCCTTTTCATATATAAAATACCATATATAGGAGAGACAGGGTTACATCTAGTCTTCTTGCACAGGAATATTTTATTAAAGTATAGTGTTTTTACTTGTTACATTAAACCTTGTAGACTACCCTTAGCTTGAAAAAATACAGTACAAGTAAATAGTATTTGTGAAAAATGCCAGTCAGACAGACATGAATAAAAAGTGTCCCTTTCTTCACTACAGTTTCTGGAAGTCCCAGTAGATATGAGAAAAGATGTGGACATATATTTGATATATTACATAATTTGAGTGGGCTCAAGAAAAGTCCTCTAGTCCTCTGTGTTTAACAGGGAAGTGATGTAAATCCAGCCATCTTGTTACCAGGAAGATACATGGCAGTTTTGGGGTGCACAAAATTCATTATAGAGTTGCAAAAATCAAACGAAATTTATAATAATATTTTCTATTTGAGATTGATCTGTGTCTTAATTTTGTACTGGCTTTTTGAATGAAAAAAAGCCATGAAAACAAGCTTTGCCATACCAGTTAAATGATTTTTAAGATGTTTAGAGGATAATTTTGTGGATCTTTATTTCCTAACCTTTAGTAATGTTAGGCCAGTATTCAAAACTTAAAAAAAGAACCATGCACAGTTCATTTTTTCATTCTTGAGAACCTATAAGTCTGTTCTTTTGTTACATTGTCATATATTAAGGCCAGCTGTATTGTCTTGCAGGAGAGGGATGCACAGGGTGAGTCAAATGGTAAAATTGCCTCTGAACACATCACAATTAAAGATGGTAAGTATCTGTAGCAATAACTGAAAGCTAGACAGGTATGCCAAATGAAGCTCATGTTTTATATGATACCTATATCTAGAGCGTGTATAGTTTATAACAAAGAAATATGCATATCTTATTGTTATCATCATAATTTTATATGTGTAATAATTTAGTTAGGATTTCTTTAGTTGTAATACAAATCCATTTTGTCTTTACAGAACCATTAGAAAACTGGGAAGATGCTGAGGATAATAGATCACTGAAAGCTAAAAAAAAATCGGAGGACAAGGAGGATCAAGTTTGTAGTACGGTAAGGACATCCTGTTACTAGCTAATGAAGTAGAAACAGTATCTCACCCATGTTACATGTGCTGTAGGCTGCTTCAGGCTGACAAGGTGCTTCAGGCTGACAAGTTGCTGTGCATGAGATAGGGGAAGGATTTGATAAGGTAGGCATGAGTAATAATAGGAGTTTTGGCATTACAAAATTAGAAATAGTCCCTGCCAGTCTACCTCACAAGGAACCCTACCAGCACTGTGCCAGGTAGATGTTCTATGGAGAGGATAAATACTCATTCCACCAAGCAACCTAGGCAATTAGTGAGAATGGTTACACCTTTTAGATATGGGATCAGAGAGGGCCCTCCTCTTGGAGGTAGTATTGCCATCTCCATGGAGAGTGAACATGGAAGTGATAGCATAATATGATTGTTTGTTGAAAATATTGGTTGTCTTCATACCAATATATTGTATGTAGTGAATATGAAATACAGAGTAGAGGAAGGGAATATATCATTTGTTTTATGGAAATATGTAATTTGTAGCATATGTACTGGTTCTATAATGCAGCAAATATTTGTTTTCTTATAGATCTTTGTATATTTCATTGCCAATTCATGGACAAAAGGTCAAAATCTAAAGTCTTAAAGAATAAAATTATACAGAGTGAGCTAGTTTAGATCAGTATAGAGAAGTACTAAACAATCGTTTAACAATAGTTCCAGAAGAGAAAAAACTATACTAATTAAAGATGGAAAACATTGAATTCAATGTAGAAATTAAATGAGAAAGCTGCATGCTATCAAAATAAGTATGGTATATGGTGCTATGATGTAGAAAATGTGACCTTCTTTAAAATTTAATAAGATCACACATTGTGAGTGACCATAATAAAACAAGATTCCCACGCAAATAGAGCAAAATAGAGCCAAAAGGGTAGAAAAAGCAATATGTCATTTTTCGCAAATATCTGCGATTCTTCATGCACATGATTTTGGAATGCAATCATCGAGGAGTTGCCAGGCTTGGCGAGGTTGAAATTCCCGCTCATTGTTGCTTACTCGCGTTTTTTATATGCTGATTATTGCTGCCTGCCGATTGTAAACATCAGATTGTTCTACATCTATCTCCTAAGGTAATTATGTTTCGAAGCCTCATTTGTAGTACTGATTTACCTGAAAGATATATAAAGGTAAGGAAAGATTATGTGGCATAAATTAAAAGAAAAAAATGTTTACAGAAGAACTGCAAAATGAGAAAAGCAAAAAATAAGGATTGACGTTTGAATTATTTATGTCATTCATTGTTTTTTTGTTTTTGTTTTTTCTTGATGAAGATTTCAGTAAAGCGAAGAGAGATCATAGAAACATATCTCAATGACAGTAATGATAACACACTGGATACCATAATAAACGTCGTTATTAGAAAACAGAATAATCAGAATAAACATAAACACACAAAAACTGTGGAAAATTCAATACTAGCATCATTTACAAAAACAGTTTCATAAATACAGGTGCCAGGCATCATGAAAAAAAGGATTATTTTAGGAAAAAAGGCAAAAATTGGCTAGAAGGAGAGCTGAAATTAGATATAAACAGTGCACATTCAACAAGGAGACCAGTGAACTATTATCTGAGGTTAATGACAGATCAAAAAGACAAAGAACTGAAGAGATACGCTCTAATTATTCAGCTGAAGAGCTAGCATTTGGAAGCCAGATGAACTTCCGCAATGATAGTAAGCTTGATGCCTCGGAAGTCTGCCAACAGATTCTGGCAACACCCACTTGTCCATCCAAAATAAATGCTCAGATAAAGACACCAAATCATCATAGACTTACACCTGCACAGGCTCTTGCAATGATGGCAAACACCAATTTATCCAAATAGATCTATATATATATATTAGAAAATGCCACAAGAATAATAATTGCAACATATATCCTTCCTACACAAAACTTTGAAAAGAGAAAGAAAAATGCTATCCAGATGATATACATGTAGATGACTTCAAAGTAACAATGTCACTATAGGCTCTTGTAGACTACACCACAAAGGGACTATTAATACCCTTGCAGCCCGCAATTGACATCATAGAAAATAGAGAGAATGGAAGAAATGCTGTATTTGAGTTACTTTGGAAATATGGATTTGATGGCAGTGGATGCCATTCAGTTTACAATATCAGGTATGATGACAAAGAATACCGTGACATAAATGAAATAAATATATTTTCAGCTTTTATATGTCCATTATGACTGTTGCTGGCAGATTCCCATACACTATTGTGGAATAACCCAGCCCCTTCCCCACTCTACTGTTGACCGCTAAGATTGATTTTCAAAAAAGAAATGGCAGCCTTAATAAGATCAGAATGTGAGACAGTCAAAACAGAGAATATTGCCTCTACACATTCATGCAGTCATGAAATAAAACATAAAGTCATTGTTACCATGGTTTATGGGAAAATATGGAAAACCTTAACCAGTACACCCTTTGTAGCTACTTGCTACATGAGCAGCCCACCAACAAAATCCTCAAGTATGAATGACCTAAATGCCATCAGAGCCTAAGAAACTCAAAGAGCAGCACATTCATGTGGCATATCTCCACTCCATCTCCTCATCATCCGACCCAGTTTCCCAATAATATGGCAAAATAAGAGAAAATTCCATCCAGAATTTGTCCAACTCCTGCAGAAGCCAGATGTAAGTGACAGTGATAGTGAAAGTGATGTTAAGATAATGGCAATTTTAGTTGTAAGTTAATGATAATGTGTGTGACAGTATGCTTTTGAAAATGTTTGTCTTATGTCTCAAAGTTGTTGTTACATTTTATGTTAACATATTTATTTAATTTTGAATACAGTAACTGTTAATGTAAGAGCTATAAGTATGTGTTATTTATGATTTATTGCATAATTCATATTATTGAATATTTAAAGGACAAATATTCAATTTATTTATTGAAATATATGCATGTTACAAACTGATCATTCTGTGTTATTCTTATTCATGGAATGTGTGTATACACTATAGAGAATCCCAAGTCATACTGTTTGATGAAATCTATGGTAGAAATAAAATGTATATATTCAAACAATATATGAATGTCCCATAGACTTTTGGCCATGAATTCAAGTAGAATGACCAGTGTGTCTTGACCAACAGATTTAGTTTTGCATATGCTTATAAGAATAAATTTTGACATAATTGGTATATCAGTCAAAATTAAATTTTATTTTGATAGGTATATAATGAAAAAGGATTTCAGGAATTAGAATTGGAATATTTTCCTTAAAATGCAACCTATAAGCATCAATTTTTTGAGAAACGTGCATTGACAGTTTTCAAAGATTGTTGAACTAACAGTATATTGAGAGAATTGTAATTTTTATAGAAGATGTGAGATAAAAACAATACATTTAATTATACAAGCATATAAGACACTGCCAGCTTCATGAAAGTATACATAGATATACCAGTAATGATGTATAATTGGGAATTACCCCAATCAATATGTAGAAGACTTTTTACAGGGAAACAATTATGTTTAACTGTATCATTTTCCTTTTATTACAGATGGCGGGTCTTACTAGGAAAGCAGTTATTGACAGATATTTTTCCTCAGGAGACACCTTTGAAAATGTAGTATCCACAATGACCAAAGAATACCAACAAGGTTACAGTAGCAGGAAAGCTATGAAAAAAGGGCATGTAGCTGCTTTCAAATGTGACTTTTGCAGACGATGGAAAAAGTCAGGCTATTGTAGAAGCAGGTTTGAAAAGCTTAACAGTGTCTGGCTAGAGAAAGAACTAAAGCTTTACAGTGAAATTAATTATTTAGAGTGTGATAGGCCTGGTTCTTCAGATCAAAGGGAATTTAATGATGAGCAGAGTGACAGAACAAAAAGAAGGAAAACTGAAGAAATCAGAAAGGATCACACAGCTGATGCACATGCCACACAAGTGAAATTACGTGAGTCGGGGAGACTTCGTGCTAGACACCTCTGCAAAAAAGCAACCTTGAAGTCACCAACAGGACCTATCAAAATGTTAGATCAAATGCAGTGCAAAGAAGAAACTTTAAATTTACCTACAGGGCCTGTCAGAATCTTATTGTATGATAATTTAAGCAATTTGCATAAAATGCATTCGCTCTGAAATGGCTGCCACTTCAGTATTCAAAAGATTTTTGTGTAACCTTCGTACTGTAAGCTAATTGAATAAATGTCAAAATGTACAAATTTATTAATAATGTTTTTTTTAATGAAGCTGAGTTTTATATTATCCTAAATTAATTACTTGTACTGTTTCATGGATATTGAGCAATAATCATATATAACAATGGAAGCGAAGATGAAGAGTGGCCTTGAAATAAGCACCAGAGTTATGAGCATCTGTACTGCTCTGCAAGTAATCTCCACCTTTCCACCATCTAAATTTATTAGTTTAGCAATTCAGAAGTACTGTATTAGATCTGAATATTTGGTTCCTTTATAAATCATCCATTATTTTATTAATTTTGGAGTGGCAATATGTCCTCGTCCTCGGATCATGGCGGTGTAAGTGGAAAGGAGCAGGCAGACGGACTTGCTAAAGTGGCGATGCGATGCACACTGGTTGTTTTACTAGAATTCATGGCCACAAGTCTATGGGACATTCTTATATTGTTTGAATATATACATTTTGTTTCTACCATAGATTTCATCAACAGCATGATTTAGGATTCTCTATAGTGCATACTCGCACTTAATGAAGGAAGAGAAAACACAGAACGATCAGTTTGTATTATGCATATATTCATATAAATACATTTTTTATTTATTAGCTCTTATATTTTCAATATAATGAATGACACAATAAACTATATATGACATACTTATAGCTCTTGCATTAGCAGTTAATGTATTCAGAATTATATACAAATGATAACATGAATGTTACAACAACTTTGAAGTATTTCGCACAAGACAAACATATACAACAGCATACTGTCACACACATTACCATGAAATACCATCATCTGATACATGGTCATTTTCACTATCACTCGCATACATCTGGCTCTCGTGGGTGTTGGACAACTTCTGGATTGAACTGTTTTCTCTTATTTTGATGTATTGGGAGACTGCTTGACACTACTAGGTCGGATGTCACTAGTAACCAATGGATCAGGTCCTTATTTATTCTTATCCTTGATGTTTTGCAAGTATGATGTTCACACACATTCCTCAGTTCTTTATGTTTTCCTTCCATCCCTTCTGATGAATGCCCTACCAGCACACAAAGTTCTTGAATAACTTCTGCACCATTTTGTGTACTGACAGAGGCATGTAGTATGATGGATACTCAGAAATGTACAGTTTTGCTGTTGACATAGCATCGCTCTTATAGTTTTCTGAGTTAATGTCAAAGCCATAGTTGAGAGCTATGAGGAGGACCTCGAGGTGTCTAATCAAATCTCTGTTTACCCCTGTAATCTGAGATACAGTATCAGGTACTTTAAAAAAACGCCTTGCAGTATTTCCGCTGTTAGTGTTTCCAGATCCTTGGCTTCGTCTATCGACATCTAAGCCTAGTTGCTGTTTCATCTCTATCTGTATCCTCTATTTCTCTTCAACCATGATATTTTATTTTCCTTTCCTTTCACTTCCCAGGTTTTTATTTTCAGTGTATAGCCAATGTGCAATGCACACTCCGTGGTGTTGACGAGGAGATGGAGTGGAGATATGCCACATGAAAGTGCCATTCTGTGGATTTCTTTGGCTCTGATGGCATTTAGGTTTTGTTGGTAGGCTGCTCATGAAGCAAGTAGCTACAAAGAGTGTGTATTGGTTAAGGTTTGCCATATTAACCATGGTAACAATCATTTAATGTTTTACTTCATGACCACATGAATGTGTAGAGGCAATATTCTCTGTTTTGACTGTCTCCCATTCTGATCTTATTAAGGCTGCCATTTCTTTTTTGAAAATCAATCTTAGCGGTCAACAGTAGAGTGGGGAAGGGGCTGGGTTATTCCACAAGAGTGTATGGGAATCTGCCAGCAACAGTCATAATGGACATATAAAAATTGAAAATATATTTTCTTCATTTATGTCACGGTATTCTTTGTCATCATACCTGATATTGTAAACTGAATGGCATCCACTGCCATCAAATCCATATTTCCAAAGTAACTCAAATACAGCATTTCTTCCATTCTCTCTATTTTCTATGATGTCAATTGCGGGCTGCAAGGGTATTAATAGTCCCTTTGTGGTGTAGTCTACAAGAGCCTATAGTGACATTGTTACTTTGAAGTCATCTACATGTATATCATCTGGATAGCATTTTTCTTTCTCTTTTCAAAGTTTTGTGTAGGAAGGATATATGTTGCAATTATTATTCTTGTGGCATTTTCTAATATATATTTAGATCTATTTGGATAAATTGGTGTTTGCCATCATTGCAAGAGCCTGTGCAGGTGTAAGTCTATGATGATTTGGTGTCTTTATCTGAGCATTTATTTTGGATGGACAAGTGGGTGTTGCCAGAATCTGTTGGCAGACTTCCGAGGCATCAAGCTTACTATCATTGCGGAAGTTCATCTGGCTTCCAAATGCTAGCTCTTCAGCTGAATAATTAGAGGGTATCTCTTCAGTTCTTCGCCATTCAGAGCTGTTACTAACTTTTAAAAATGGTTTTATTGGTCTCCCTGTTGAATGTGCCATGCTCTACTTCGTATTTTTTCCATATCTTCTTTCACTAATTTCAGCTCTCCATCTAACCAGTATTTGCGTTTTTTTCATATATTTTTTTTTTCTTGATGCCTGGCGCCAGTATTTATGAAACTGGTTTTTAAATAATGCTAGTAAGAATTCTCCAAGTTTTGTTATTTGTGATTTTGTTGATGTTTTCTTATAACAATGTTTTATATTGTCTTGTCATTACTTTCATTGAGATATGTTTCTATAATCTGTCTTCGCTCTACAGAGGTCTCCATCTAGAAAAAAATGAATGAATGATATGAAAAGTTAACGTCAATCCTTATTTTATGCCCATTCTCTGTACTTTAGAAGGGGTAACTATTATATTTTTTCTCATTTTGCCGTTCTCCTGTAAATTTCAAGATTTATTTCCTTTTTATTTTTGCCACATGAGCTTTCCTTTCCTTTATATATCTTTCAGGTGAATTTTTACAATAAATGACGCTTAGAAACAAATTTACCTTAGGATACAGATGTAGAAAGATCTGATATTTACCATCGACAGGTGGAAATAATCAGCAAATAGAAAACGCGAGTAAGCAACGACGAGCGGGAATTTCAACCTCTCCAAGCGTGGCCACTCCTCGATGATTACTTTGCAAACTCATATACATGAAGAATCGCAGATATTCGCGGAAGATTACACATTGATAAAATTGCATATTGCATTTGCTACCCTTTTGATGTAAAGAAATGGCTCTATTTTGCTGTATTTGCCTGGGAATCGTGTTTTATTATGGTCACTCACAATGTGTGATCTAATTAAATTTTAAAGGTCACATTTTTCTACATCATAGCACAGTATACCATACTTATTTTGATAGTGTAAATGGCATGTGTCTTCCTTGTTTAGTTTCTACAATGAATTCAATGTTTTCTATCTTTATGTTTTTTTTCTGGAACTATCGTTAAGCAATTGGTTAGTACTTCTTTGTACTGATCTAAACTATTCCCTGTCTCCCTCTCTCTCTTTCCTTCTTTCTTTTCCTCTGTTTCCCGTAGTACAAGCATTCGGCTATTTAAGATGGCGACTCGGATCCCAAGCCATGTTCTGCGTCCAAAAACACATCATTCGCGATGACCCAGGCGGCGAGTGTCAGAGTTGACCTGTGTCCTGACTCAAAGTGACCCAGCCCTTATTCTAAGAAACCTGACCTGGTTTTGATACTCAGTTCTTACAGAATGCCAGCCAGCTCATATCCTTAGAAATGGCGGCTTTGATTATTTGACATGCTGTGTATATTTTAGGGATAGTGTTATGATTTGCTGGAAATGATGATTGTAATAGTGTGTAGATAAGCTCTGCTGATGCTTCATGAAAAATGACACAAAGAGTAAATAAAAAAGAAGAGATAGATTCCCAAAAACCACAAGTTGAAATAATTTGTAACAGTTACCCCCAATCAATATGTAGACGACTTTTTAAGGGAAACAATTATGTTTAACTGTATCGTTTTCCTTTTATTTACAGATGGCGGGTCTCAGTAGGAAAGCAGTCACTGACAGATATTTTTCCTCAGGAGACACCTTTGAAAATGTAGTATCCACAATGATCAAAGAATACCAACAACGTTACAACAGCAGGAAAACAATGAAAAAAGTGGATGTTTCTGCTTTCAAACATGACTTCTGCAAACGCTGGAGGAAATGCCATTCTAGAAAAAGGTTTGAAAAGCTTAACAGTGTGTGGCTAGAGAAAGAACTAAAGCTTTTCAGTGAAATTGATGATTTAAAGGGCGATAGGCCTGGTTCTTCAGATCAATCAAGCAGTGACAGGAAAAGAACAGAAAATGGGAAATTTGAGGACGAACAGAGTGACAGAACAAAAAGAAGGAAAACTGAAGAAACCAGAAAGGATCACACAGCTGATGTAAATGCCACGCAAGTGAAATTGCGTGAATCGGGGAGACTTCGTGCTAAACACCTCTGCAAAAAAGCAACCTTAAAGCCACCAACAGCGCCTGTCAAAAAGATACATCACATGCAGCGCAAACTAAAGACTTTTAAGTCAACAACAGGGCCTGTCAAAATGTTATATCAGATGCAGAGCAAAGAAGCAACCTTAAATTCGCTAACAGGGCCTGTCAAAATGTTAAATCAATCAACCTTAAAACAGGGCCTGTATGTTAAATCAGGTGTCACAGGGCCTGTCAACATGTTAAATCAAATACAGCACAAAGAAGCAACCTTAAATTCACCAACAGGGCCTGTCATAATGTTAAATCCAGACAAAGAAATAACCTTAAATAACCTGTCAAAATGTTAAATCAAATACAGCACAAAGAAGCAACCTTAAATTAACAGGGCCTGTCAAAATGTTAAATCAAATACAGCACAAAGAAGCAACCTTAAATTCACTAACAGGGCCTGTCAAAATGTTAAATCAAATACAGCACAAGGACCTTAAATTCACTAACAGGGCCTGTCAAAATGTTAAATCAGATGCAGAGCAAAGAAGCAACCTTAAATTCACCAACAGGGCCTGTCAAAATGTTAAATCAAATGCAGCACAAAGCAACCTT